TAGTGTGTACGGCTAAACCTTGACCTTGCAGCTGGTCTCCAAACAGGTGCACGCACGCGTCCTAGCGCCCCGCTTATGCAGCGCCAGTGTGTGTGTCATCTCTCGGGTGACAGTGCATTAAACTCCGAACCGCCTATGTTCTTTGGGTCAGTAAACCAGTATTCTTTGTCATGTATGTTGACCTTTGAAACCTTTCCTTTCGAAGTCTAAACCGATCAAGTTATATGAAGTCCCTAATCAACGACTCCCGATATCTGAGGCTTGTCGATTAGTTTTCCTTTGTCTTATGCGAGAGAATCTTGAGATGGCGGGATATAAGTCCCTCATCATTTTCGAGCAGTGTCCCGAGTCTCAATTTGAGACTATGTATACTTCGTAGGGATCGAAACCTACGAAGACTGAGAGGGTATTGGTGTTAGATCGTTAGTATGGGAATCTCGAGCATCCCTAATCGTGAGACCGATTCTACGATAGGAGATTGTTTTCGAACATCTATTCGATACTTCCTAAACCGCATACGAGGTGTTACTCGTGTCAACAAGGAAGGAGGCATTGCCAGCGGTATCGAACTGAGCCGTGTGTTCTGAAGGTACCTGTATTGAGGGTATAGTGATACTGATGGCTGTTAGCCGTTCGTATGGGATTCCGTGGCGGCCTGTTTTATAAGGACGCGCGGATCATGTCGATGTAATAATCGAGTTTTCAAGCGTGACTCGGGCACGAGACTGAAGCTCGATGCCACGAATCAACCATATATGGTTAGTCTGCCGTAGTATGCTATCAATACACGAAAGGACCAGTTTGGGTCTTGTGTATTGATGGATGAGTAGGGTGTGAGAAATTCCATACCATGGGGAGTTACGCTGGTAACAATGGTTATCTAGCGACAACCCTAGTGGTACCATGCGAGGTGGCTGGTACGGATAGAGGTAGAGTAGGTTGTTGTTCTGGTTACTGCCACGCGTATCCAATCCTATTATGATTCTCGACCAAGTTGATGATTTAGCCTGATGGTTGACTCCACCACCGGAGCTCGCGAGGATGCATGACACGTTCTGTGCCTCATTATGGAGGAAACGTGTGCGTGATCTTGGGGTACTTGTGAACTGTGACGAGCTGCGTGATAGGCAGAACCCTACCTGTATGGAGGTACCGGTGACCTATTAGAACAGAGGGTCTATTAGGAAAAGGCCGGGAGGGGTACTCGTTAAGTCCAGTGGGGGTTGTCAAGGCAAGGCGACTTGGGAGAGGGAGACTGAAATTCGGAGGAGGTACCCGAATTTCATGTGTTGATATTTTTCCCTTTCTATTCTCTTTAGTAGTCATGTGGTAGTTAGTTTTTCGAATTTCGGGAACGGAATTCTTTTTAAGGTGGTTGGACTGTAATGCCCCATTTGTTTATGAATTATTTGGGATTATTTATTATTATTATTATTGTTATTTATTATTATTGTTATTATTATTATTATTATTGTTGAATTCCTAATTGTCATTAATTGTCTAAATGTTTATTATTATTAACTAAATAATGTTTGTATTATATAAATATTTATCCGATTTTATTTTAATAACCGTGCGATCGAACCAAGTTTAATATCGCTATGTATGAGCCCGTAAGAATCGAGAGACCCGGCCCGAGTCTTTGAAACTCGCGCCTCGCCCAAAACCACCCGAGCCGCCTTTTTCTTTATTGCGTGGAAAGATTTTTGTGAAGCCCTAATATACCTAAGTACAATTTTTCCCCGTCTCTTCTTTCTCTCATAACTCACACGCCGCAACTCGTTTCTTTCTGTTCGTTCGATTTCTTTTTCTCTCGCTATGTCGCAACAACAACGGGAGAATTTTCCTCAATTTTTCTCGATCGATTAACCTTCAAGATCAATCGAAGCTTTTCTCTCTCGACGTAACCTGACCACACGCACAAGGAAACCGCCACTGACCAAGGGCGTCCCAGCCTCGCCGAACCTTTCGTCGGCGTTCCCCCGCCATCACACCAATAACCGATCAGGAGCAACCGTCGACGTCCACCCATCAACCGCCTTCAGCCATAGCCGCGAGTTGTCCATCGAGCAGCAAGTTCCGACTACCCCTGTTCACCATGTCGGAGGGCTCGCTAGCCTTCGTCGGACGGCAACACCCGCCGCACATTTTGTCGGGGAGGAAATCTCACGAGCAGACAACTCCTCGGCCAAGGAACAACCACCGTTCGTCTGTTAACCTATGTTCCTCCACAAGCCGCCGTCCGCAGGCCCCTCTACCCTCGCGATTGTCGTTTCCGTCGCCGAGCAGAAACCTCGCGATCACTGGCGAGCCGTGCGTGAGCCGTCGAGCAGTTTTGTGCACGTCAACCCTCGTTCGATCCTTTCTCGCACGTTTCTGAGTACGTGATGTGTTTATGCTTCAATGATTGTTCATATTAGAGTTTAGTATCCGTTTTGTTTATTTTATGTTGAGATCCTTTCGATTCATGTGAAATCTAAAGAGATCATATTAACTTCGTGTTAAGTACTGTGAATATGGAACGTTTGGAAGTCCTTGGCCTGATGGTGAAGGCCTCAGACGATTTCGATGTTTGTCGAGTCGAATATGATTTTGTGAACTCGAATAGTTGCTGTTTATGTGTTAAATTCGTGATAAATCACATGCTGTTCTGATTGATATGAAATTTTGTGTGTCAAGTCCTCTGATGTTAATATAGGTCGTGTAAAAATTTCATGATTTAATTCCAACTGTAGCTATTTTTAATAATTGTTGTAATTTCTTGGCAGAATCTTGTAAATTGCATAATAAATCTAGTTGTACTCCAATTTGGCTGAAATTTTAATATAACGTCTTTCTGTTGTATTTGGATGTCGTGTAAAAATTGCATAATTTTCAGACTTCGTTTGCTAGGGTAATTAATTGTTTGTGTTATTCTTCTGAAAACCTTTTTATTTATGAAAATTTGATCTGTTGCTGTAAATTGCTAAATTTTGGTTCATGTAACTATTTAATGATGTTATGCGTGAGGAAAAATGCCCAGGGCTTTTGGAGTTCATATTGGTACGGTTTTGGTGAAATGTTGAATTCTGCAGAATTTTGTTACAATTTTCATAATTCGCATGTTTAATGTTTAAAACTAAAATTTTTATATATTGATATTCACATGATGAAGTTTCTTGTGTAAAAATTTCAAGTGTTAACTCGTTCATTTGGTCAGGCTTTGAACTTGTGCTCGTTTTTACTGAAAACTTGTTTGAATTTTGTAAAATAGTGTGTCTTGAGTTAAGGGCTGAAATTTAGTGATGTTACTATGTCCAATGAGGTGGATTTTATGTAAAAATGTCAGAGCCTAACTCATTCGAATCCCTGACCAACTTGAATAGCTGGTTCTCACGTCAAATATTTCAAAATATAGTTTTGTGTTAAAATCTGTAATCCGGCTTGTATGTTGTTATTTGTTGTCTGACTTGGTTATCCTTTGATTGAGTTTATGTGTACTCCCATACGTGTTTTGGTTGAGTCTAAATGCTGAATCTAAGTGTTCCAACATCTACAGGACTTCACGAACAACTTAGTCGAATCAAGGTTAATGAAAACCTTTGAAAAATTGGATTTATGAATCCCCGCTAGTTCAGACACGACTTGAACTATGTTTCGAATTGAATGAGTAACGCCGAAATGTTTATGAATCGAAAAATGAATTCAAAAATTTTACTGTGATTTTTGGAAAAGCCATGGATTTTACTGTGATTTTTGGAAAAGCCATGAAAAAGCCATGGATTTTGAAAATTCTTATTTCTTTCACTATCACTCATTCTCATATGATCTCTTCTCTCTCTATATATATATTATGGTGTAAAAGAAATTTGACCTAAATAAAAGGACAAAAGTAGAAGTGATTATATATTTTGTTTGTGAGAAAAATTTAGGGCCTGATTGTTTACAAGTTAATTTACTCGCATTTATTTTATACTCAAAATTTAACTCAACTTTAACTCAACCTTTAATTCACTATTCATCCACTCACATAATTATAACTATCTATCATTTCCAATTATTTTCAATCATTTATATCATACTTTTAAATTAAATCAATTTTAATTATTTTATTTTAAATATTATTTTAATACATTATTAAAATTGCACAAATAACTAATCATATCACTTTTCCTAAAATTAACTATAGTTAACCAAAATAACTCATTTTGAACAAATTATTTCAAGCAGTTAACTTTCTAATGAAGTACATACATGCGAAGCGTCGAAGAATCAACAACCTGAATATTTTTCTCCACCTCTAAATCATTATGTCTGTTACCATCATTCATTTCATATCTTCACCCAATTATCTGCACCAATGACAAAATAAAGTAGTAAGAAAATATAGAAAACTTTGGGAAGTAGAAACACGTTGTTTGGTGTGAACCTTACAATTTAGCTTCGTCCCCAATTCATGCGTATATTTCTTCAGTCAGTCAGTCCATGCGCGTGGGTGTTTAGTATTCGGCAATGGGACTGGAAAATCGACACCTTTTTCTCCTTTATATTTTTGACTCGCAGAGGACTGCGCTCAATTATTATGTTCGTCGTTGCTGGGCTATCAATTCGTTTTCCCCAATTCTTACAAAATCATCAATTACCGCTACCTGCTGTCAGAGCCGTCTTTTGGGGGAGCAGGGTGAGCAACTGCACAGGGCCCCCAATTAATTGGGGCCCCATATATAAATATTAAAATATTATATATATAATAATATAAATAAAAAATATAATAATATATAGAAAGAGCCTTTTGTGTTTTGTCTATCCGGGGGAGGTTCTTTCCTACTTGAGAAGTGGAAGTTGTTATTAATAAAATATTAAAAATATATTATTCAATATTGTAATTAGGGGGGCCTAATTTTATTTTTCGCTCTGGGCCCAAAAAATGTTGGAGACGGCCCTGCCTGCTGTTACTGTTTTTTAGTCCTATAAATTAAAATAAATTAATTCTTGCAAACAAATTAAATCAAATAAAAATAATGGCGGTGGTTGTGTTTGTGACAATATTGGTGGCCATGGCTACTGCAGTGGCTGGCGATCCATCAGAAGCGACATTAGTGAATACTAAACATGGAAAAAGAAAATGCACACAAGGTTGGGAGTGTAATACCCCGTCTCCATATTGCTGCGGCTACAAGATTTCGGATTTCTTTACGGCCGATGATTTTGAGAAGCTTTTCCCCCAAAGGAATTCGCCGGGAGCCCAAGCAGCCTACTTTTATAGCTACGAGTCCTTCATCCAAGCCTCCGCCCTGTTTCAGCCGCAGGGCTTCTGTACCTCCGGCAACAAGACAATGCAGATGAAGGAACTTGCCGCTTTCTTTGCCTTTGTTGCCGCCCAAACTTCTTGTCAGTGCTTAATTAAAATTCCACATTCTTTTTTTTTTTTTTTTTTTNACATTTTAATCTATTCCAAATTTGTTAATAGTAATATTCCACTTAATTAAGTGGTGTGAGGCTGAGTATATATGTGTGTGGGTTGCAGGCGAGCACGCAAGTGCGAGAGGTGGGTTACTAAGCTGGGGTCTATGCTATTGCAAAGAAATGAGTCCCAACAAAAATCGTTGTGTTGATGGTGAAGAAGCTGATATTGATTGCCCATGCAACCCGGGAGCTCAGTACTATGGTCGTGGGGTCTTTCCAATATACACGTATTGTCTATTTACATTCTTGCATTTTTGGTGTTTATCTATATATGTTTTGGTCACAAAATAATTTGATTAATCATGGTGATGTCATGTACATTTATCGATCCAACAGTAGCACCGCATACTGCCGCACAGGCAAAGCATTAAATGTGGATTTGTTGAACCACCCGGAGCTCATCGAACAAAATGCAACTCTCGCATTCATGATCGCAATGTGGAGGTGGATGACTCCAGTTTTTGGCGGCCGCGAACTAATAAGAGGGTGGCACAAAATAATAACGGTACCCTCACCACACACTGTGTTTGTCGGCGATTGGAAGCCAACTAAGAAGGACATCTTGTTGGGTAGATTTACAGGGTCATTAGCGACGACCATCAACGCCATGTACGGTGCTGATTTTTGCGAAAATCTAGGTAACAACCCGAAAATGAACAACATTGCAGATTATTACAACTATTACCTTGACCTCACAGGCGTCAGCAGTGACCAAGCCGGGGACCTCCTCAGCTGTATGGACCAGAAACCTTTTAACCTGCCCAAGGATTGGCGCCAGCTGCCTGAATAAAATTTGTATAATATTAGTATGTGTGGCTCGATGTATTTCATTAAGAAGCATGGTTGTATAATTATAAAGTCATAAATAAGGGGAAGTTTTTCTACCGCAGTTATGTTATATGTGATTTATTACTATCCATTATTATTAGATTCATATTTTATTTTGGAACCTAAACCACAGTCCAACATATATGGGTCATAGGCCCAGACGAGTAATCCATTAACAGGTGTCCAGTGTCGTTCTACCGAAAGATCGCTACGCACGATCTGCTGATCCAGTGTGAAAAGGAACTAAAAAAGGGACCATCCAATCACGTATCATTCTCAGAAGCATCACTCCCACATGTTCTCTTGCATGTAGCCCTTCCGGACACATGTCACTCAAGTACGTCCATAATTGGCATATTGTAATTGTTGCATTTCCTTTTGTATTTCTTATAAATAAAATTAATCATACCCCACTTGGAACCACATTCAAGTCATTAATTAAAAAGAAACACTCAAAGAGCAATAAATTCTATATTGTCGATCATATGTTATTGGCAATCTCAATTACAGTGCATTTTATGTTCTTAATCGCATAATTCATACAAATTGACATGTGGTAACTCCTTTGTGATCAACAAATTGGCGCTAAAAGGAGGGTCCATAAAGTTTGTGATGAATCTTCAACTTACAAATTTCAAACACGAATATTACAGCCAATTTTTAGCCATATTGTCTTCCTATAAGAATCCCAACGACAACTAGGACAACCAAGAGGATAATTTTCCTCCTCTCACTAACATCAGCCAAATCTATAACAATCTTGCCTTTGTTGAAGTCATAACCGACATTTTCAAACAGATGATCCCTATTTTATCCCTTAAAGCTTTCCTTTAAAATCATATTCCCAAATATCCATATTTGCAAGTGTCATAGTCCCAAGAAGGCAATTCTCAAGGCCTCCATGGGCCAATAAGAATGGAAAATACAAATTTGATTGTCTGACGAAGATCATGAGGAAGTGGGCAAAAGTCAGCTTCAATCAGGCGCTGAGCTGAGTTCAACTGTCCCTTCTATGTTCGAACGCTTAGGAAATATCCCTCGAAGTGGCTATCTCCACCGCCAAACCACTAAAATAACCCTCTGCAACGAAGCTAATGAGATCGCTACACTTGAACAATAGATCACCGAACTTGAGGCTCGAAACATCCTAGAACATCTGCATTGACCTATCCTTGATCTCCCTTCACAATTTCTTTCTTCCTCTACCACCATTTCTCCATTTTTAAATTTCTCACTCTCTTCTCACATCATGGGCGAGGTGTTGCCCACGAAAATAAAGTCCCCCAGATCGGCATATACAATGGAAACACATGGAGCTGTTAAACGAAATAAGTTATTTTTGAGCTCAGCCCAGCTGATAAACGGGCCAATCTCGAGCTCGCTTAAAGATTATTTTGTCAACGAGTCAGGCTTAGACCGACTCGATAAGACTCATTAAGCCTCAAAAAGTGAATTGATATAATCTTATATAGTTCGGCTTGTTAAAGCTTTAGATTGGTTTGAACTCGGCTCGTAAATATTAATAAACGAGTCGAGTTTGAGTTTAATTTTTGGTTTGTTTACTTAATGAGACGAGCCTAGCTTGACTTTTTAAGTGTTTGAGCTTGATCTTGGCTTGACTCATTTATATCCCTAGGGAAACCAATCCTGAATCCCATCTAACCACTACACATCCTGGATGGATCTGCATGAAGCGAGAAATGCCCTCAAGTGTTGAACTTTCTCCCTCACTTTGGGGCTGAAATCTGAACAATGGTACCATTCATTAGTCCCTGGGTTGATCCACAACTGGGATAAACATCGATTGGCCTTGTCGATGCAAATTTTTTGGCTCTCAGGTGTGCATGATTCTAAGGAAGTCGATCAAAAACATTTTCAAATGGGCCAATGAGAGTTTATAGGACAACATTGCCCAACTTAACATTCGGGTCCAAAGAATAGAATATTGGTATTGATATATGTGGCACTTTATACCAACTCGATGTTCTGCTGGTTACTATGCTAAAACAAGCACACCACTTATCAAGTTGAACCGGAACACGGTTGAACTGAGTTGCATCTAGTCAGACGAGCGACCGGTTGGTTCAGATCGAGCCGTCGGTCCAGATCAGCTGAATCAGTACGAACAACCTTGACGATTCAGGAATTTCAGTTCGGAATATCGGTTTGAGCGTGAACCGAGATTCAGTATTTTTTCGAACCCAGTCAGATCAGTATAGACCAGACAGATTAGCTCCGGACATAGTATTTTTTCGAACCTAGCCAGTTCAGATAAAATCAAATAAATCAGATAAGCCAGTTCAGATAGAAATCAGATAAGCAGTCCAGACTTAGAAATTATTTCAGCGAACTCTAAAAATGCCTCAAGACAATAAATTCCCAGATTAGCTCATAATTCCTCTAAATAGGGATTAAATGATTTTAAAACCAAACGAACGAACATAGTAAGATCAGATAATAATAAGATTCAAGTTTTTAGTTGAGCTTAGTACTTAGTATATTTTGCTCAAATATCTATGTAATTTAGGGAGAGTCGAGCCTCTGACACCTACCATTCATCCAGTCGCACTTGCCGAGCGAGCTGTAAGTCTAGGGTTTTTATAACCATCAGATCAGTTCAGTTCTTATATGCTCAAGGCATGATATTGTTATTATTAATGTTGTTTTATTCAGTACTGATTTCTGCGGACCATAGTTGTTTTGCTCACGCCCCCACTAACTTTCTTTTTAGGTGACAGAGTCCAACGTGGAGTGTGAACACCTGCGGTGGTAGTGGTCATGAGCAGTAGATTTCTTATACACATTTTCATGTCATTCATTTGATCATGTATTATTATTACTATGCTTGCATATTTTATGTTTTAGCTTTTGCATATTCAGACTCAGTATGTATTATGAGACTCCAGACGTATGCATGTGTAATGTCTTTATCTCCATGGCACCTTTATTAAATGGATTTGATTAGGTTGCTTGTATTTATTATGTCTGCATGAGAAAGAGATAAGAAAAGCAGTAAAGTAGAGTTAAGTAACATCCCGCGAGTCAGTTATAGCGTTTTCGAAAATAAAGTGAGTTTTTCGAAAATAAAAAGCAAAAATTTAACTCTGATTTTTAAAAGTCTAAAATTAGAAGGCGGGGTGTTACAGTTACAGGCTTCTGTTTTGGGAGTTTCAACTTTATCTTGTAGTTTGTGTGCATGAGGCGGGGATCCCCCCACGATGAAGTGGCTTTTTCTTTTTTTCTTTTTTTTCAGTTTATTTTTTCATATTTATAAGTTGATGTAAAACATATTTATAAAATTGTAATAGTTATATTTTTAATGGAAAAATAATGAAAGATGCGTGTAAATTTTGCACAGTCGAAACAATAAAATGTTGTGCAACTAAGGGATTGCTTGATATATTATTGGATACAAATATATTCGTTCAAAACAAGATTTTTTTTGTTAAATATGTTTAATTCTGAAACCTTGGTATGATTAGTTAGTAGAATTTTGTGTTTATATTTAAATAGTATTCAAAATAAAATAATTAAAGTTGGTTTAATGTAAAGTAAAAGAGAGAAGATGTAAAGTGATAGTTAATTAAAATTATGTGAATGGATGAATAGTGAATTAAAATTGATATGATACACAAGAATGATTATCTAGAATTATTTAATTACATTTATAATATTGAGGATAGTGGTGTTGGAATAAAGTTGAGTTGGATTTTTAGTATTAATTAAATATGGAGTGGAAAAATTTATTAACACCCCTAAGAGATATTAATCAAACTAACTTTGACAACACTTGTTAATCATTTGAATATTTGTATTGTTGTTAATTTTTACAATTATTTTTATTTAATATTTTTCAGTTATTTATTTTCATGTAAAAGTATTTATCTACTATATAATTAAGCAACTCACTTTCTATTTTTGGAAAGTTAGATGTGGGTCCTACAATACTCTTTCTATATTAGGAAAGTCTAGAAATTGCATGTGGTCCTGTGGATCCTGTTGTCAGTATTTTTACTAGAGTAGAATCGAAAGATTCGTTCCCCGGGTCGTATCGCAAGGAAGGTTAGCCGGATATTCTTGTGCGTTTATTCAATCACGAAAAAGAGAAAACAAATTCCTAAACACTCTAGTTCAATATTTTGGGGTTTTCCATTATCAACTAAGGATACTAAAACTAGATTAAACGCAATTTAAATGGCGAACAAATTCACTAAATGATTAAAGAGCTAGGGAATCGGGGATAATTGCTTTCGGTTCTATCACAATTACCGGCAATCAATTGCTCGGTTAAGGGACTTGAACTGTTTCTCGTTCAGAGGTTCACTCTCAATAACTCTTTGTAACAAGAGAGTGAATGTAAACGATCAACTACCAATTACAACAACACATAGATTATACATTTCCGAACAAATCTTGCAACACCCCGCTTCTATAGGTCCAATTTTTCGCAAATTTTAACTCTTTCGAAAACGCTTTTAAATTTTTCGAAATCATTTGCAAACTACCTCGGGATGCTGCTAAAACTTTTCTGCTTAAAAATCTATTTTCTTTAAACTAGGTCTAACGGCTGGTTTAGACTTAAAGGAATCAGATTTATATTTTATCGAATCATGCATATTAATTTGGACCTGTTCGTACTGGCGAACTGGGTAAATTATTTAAGGCTGAAAGTACTGTCATGTAAGTTCGAAATAAAAGCAAGCATAGCGGAAAGTCTGAAAATGCGTGGAAATATTAGTTATACAAAACATGATAACAAATGTCCCTGGAACGGCTCGCTGTGCCATCTCCACAACCACAACCACCACAGCTCGACTCACGCCTGCTCGCCGACCCTGCCATCTGAAAATATAAAGTGGGGGTGAGTACGGTCCACTTGTACTCCATAAAAACCCATTCTAAAGTAAACAGGAATACTAATAATGATATCACAGAACTAGTATATATAAGTAACTGAACTCCCGGACACTCTGGCCGGTAACTCCCGGACACTCTGGCCGGTACCGTTTGC